TGGTGTTCTTTACTCCCTTAACTATCTCGTGGGCTTTCCGACACTTTCTCTTTGCTTTGTCCTAGGACATGCCAGCACGCTCTTGTCGCTACGCTCTTGGTTTTTCTTGGAACGCTCCTTTTGCTTCTTTTTGTGACGTATTAAACTCCAAAACGCTCTTGATGCTACTCTCTTAGCTTCCTCCTGGAACATTCCGGCCCACTCCATCGCCCACTCTTGACACTCTTGATGATCAGAAACGCAAGCATGAAGTGATGACCTTGTTGCAAGTGCAGAGTGCATCAATGTGATCACGCCGCATTTCTCTTTCCAAGGGAAGGGTGGGGGGGCCCACCGATGTGGTTGGGCATGAGAAAGAAGAGGGGAATTGATGATGTGAACCTGGGCAATGTGCCTTCTTCCTCTAGTGGACCCTCTCTTTCCAATGTTGTTGATCGATCACTAGAGGTTGCTTTGAATTCAGGTAACACTTTTGCGTGTTCACCTATGTTACCTTGGGATGAAGGGTTTCTCAAAGATGTTTTGGGACCCGAAGGTCCGACCGCTATGCCATGGCTTTCACCCTTGCTGATTCCTCGCGATTTGCCTCCTACACAAGTGCCTGTGTTGAGTTTTACATCATCGGTGCAAGACAAGGTACAAGTAGTCAGAAAACGTTTCTACGATCAGAAGAATTTTGGACATGATGCCAGTCGCCAGGTAGTTATCGCAAAATGGATGGATCTTGTTTTGATGTATCCTGAAGAATCGACGATTGGGCGTTTGCTTCTATCAGAATCGACAAAAGATGAGAGCCATGATAAAAGCTTGCAATTGATAACTGATTGGGTGGCAAAGAAATCCACCTCTACTCTGAAGTTGAGAGCTGGGTCGTTCGCGATGTACATCAGTTACTGCAAGAAGACTTCTGACGCACCCGCTGTGCCTGTTGATGAAAGCTTAGTTTATCAATACATAGATTCACTGAGGAGCTCACAGAAGCCTCCCACACGAGCTCAAACATTTCTCTCCACGCTTGCATTTGTGGAGAGCCTATTTGGATGGCGAGGAGCCGGGGAAGCTGCTGCATCACAGCGAGTTCAAGGAGCAGCTCACCTGTGTTTCCTTCGCAAGCGCGTACTGCGTCAAGCTCCCCCTTTAGATGTGATCGCAATTGCTGTTTTAGAGCTTTGTGCTTTGTTTGTGGAAGACCCCTATGTGAAAGGGTGCGCATGCCTATGTCTTTTTGCACTCTACGGTCGCTTGCGTGCAAGCGATTGCAACCGTGTGAGCCATGGAAGAATTATCGGCAATTATTTTGAAGGTTGTTTGTGCCGTATCAAGACTGCTCGCACTTTGGAAAAGCAGACGCGTTTCTTGCCAGTCATAATTCCTGTCAAAGGAATCCTGGGCGTTGATTGGTTTTCTCAGTTTGTGAACGCGCGTGATGCCTTGGGTCTGGACGCAATTCCTGACGAACCTCCTGTGACTACTGATAATGATTTCGTTCTTTTTCCCTCTCAATCCACCGTGCTAGCTTCGGAGCAGGAACGCATTGGATCTGCTGAGATGACAGAGCGTCTAGGGGAGTGCCTTGCGAAGCTGCTGCCAACTGAGGCTTTTCAACATTACACGTCGCACAGTTTGAAATGCACATTGCTGACATATACAAACATTTTTGGACTTACCTTGGAACAAAACGAATTGTTGGGCTATCATGTGGTGAAGGGGCATGCATCCGCGCTCAATTATTCGCGGGATGCGCTGGCAAGCCCGATCAGAGCCATGGCCACCATGTTGGGAAGCGTAAAGAGGGGACTGTTTGTCCCTTTCGCAGCCAGAGATGAACAATTTGTTTCTGCTGCCTCAGCGATCAGTGTTCGCCAACAATTTGAGAAAAGCCTAGGCATTACAGTTGAAACAGCGGCCAGATCCATAGCTGGCGTAGCGCAGGGCAGAGGTCCTGAGGCTTTGGACCATGAGAGTTTCTGTGCTAACTTGGAAACTTTAGCCGCGGGTATCGAACAGGATCTAGACAAGCCTTGTCATGAAGCAGACACCTATCCTGTTCCTGAAAGTTCGGATGATGAAGACGACAGTGACTCTTCAAGTGATTCTGGCAGCACCTCTGCAGAGAGTGGCATGGCAGTAGTGGACCGCGAGCTGGCGGCCGATCGCTATGCAAATGTCAACGTGAATGCAGACATTACCAGAACTTTCAGGCATGTAAGGACTAAGATGTTGCACTATGCGCATGTCGAAGACATGCACAAGACGAGCTGTGGCAGGATGATAAGTAGTTCCTTCTCCATCTTTAGAAAAGACCCCGAGCATGCATGGCCGAAGTGTCGTGTCTGTTGGGGCAGGTGACTTGCTGCGAGATGAAAAATACGGTATGCGGCTTTTGCAAGTTCTGGCATTCAAATGTTGGCACTTTGGTTTGCGGATGCATGTGCCGAATGCTGCTTGCAAAATGTTTTGTCTATGTTCCACACAGAAGTTGTGTGAGGCCGCAACGATCTCTGGGAAGTCCAGAGCAGAGCTCAACAGGATGGAGAAGGCAAGCCCAGCTTAACATGTCATGTGCTGTGATGATGTATCACTGCAGACATGGATGTCCTGTTTTTGTTTTGCGTTTTGTTTTTTTTTTGCTGGCAACTGACTGTTCTTTATGATACTCCGTTTCTCGTGTTTTGGATGAAAAGATAAAGTTCGCTAATCTGAAATTGCACTCGCGTATGTTGAGCCAGTTGAGGAAAGTGTCCGCTTGACCGTTGCCTGAGTTGTGGATCGAGCGCGAAGTTGAAGACTAAGATGTTAGACTCTGTGGCAGTCTTCAAAAATCGAGCCCTGGAGATTGGCCTAGATGAAGCCACTCTCGCGAGGCTGGATGTGCTGGGATGGAACACCTTTGGCAAACTTGCATTCGCAAGTAGCTACCGTCCTGGTCAAGTGGACGAGTCTCCTTTAATCACCCTTGCCGAACAGATCACAGAAGTCAGTCCTCCGCCTTTGACTCAGTTGCCTCTCATACGTCGGCTTGTGTTTGAATCCTACACATTAGCAGCCTCCGACCTCAAAATGAGATCTGAAAGGCGGGAGGATGATACACCTCGAAGGCTGGCTCAGGCAGAGCGTGCAGCAAGGCACGATTCGCAGGTCAGCCGCCTGAGGGGATTAGAACTGACAGGTGAAATGGAGCCGTCTCACCTACTCATTGATTTGGTTTTCCAGATGAGTGAGGACAACCAATTGAGATATGTGAGGTGGGATCAATGCACAAAGAGAGATCAAGAGCTCATGGGATTGAAATCTGACCCCACATGGAAGCCCGACAGTGGGGGCATAGTTCGCGAAGTCCGAGTTCAAGAAGAAGTCAAAGCCGACATCTCCTCCGACCTCAAGCTCAAATACGCGCTTCAGCGGAGGAGCCTAGCTTTTGACCAGGCTAGGTTAGTAGACTTTGACAAGTTTGAGCGATGGTCACAAGTGCTCCTTGAAGCATACACAGCAAGCCCCCCTGCTGGGTACAACAAAGTTTCGATCGAACAGGTGCACCATGCCGACATGGAGCTTTTCAAATTTCTGATGAAGGAGACGAGGAACGGCATTCGACCTATTGGCACCTCAGTGCCGTTGGAAGACGCACTCGCCAAAGCTATGTCGGCGCCTGAAATTCGACTGCACTTGCAGCCTCTTCAGGGAAGCTCTTCCGTGAAAAGGAAAGCTGAGGCAGAAGAGAACTTGGACAATGAGAAGAAGAAGAAGCAAAATCAGTCCTCTGGGGAAGAAAAACTTCGGAGGCAGATTCAGAACCTCGAAGGACAGTTGAAAAACATGAGAAAAGGAAAGGGCAAAGGCAAGGGGCAAGGCGCACGGAGCTCCAGTTCTATCAAAATGCCACAGGAGCTGCTGGGGCAAACAGCAGTCACCGCGGCAAACGAGCCGCTGTGCTTCAGTTACAATTGCAATGGGTGCAGTAAGGCTGCCGCAGGACAGCGCTGCGCAAAGGGGTGGCATTTGTGCACCAAGTGGGGATGTCAACAACCCCATTCCCAGCGGGAGCATGGCAAGACTGGAGCTTGACCCGATTTCGGGTCCACAAAGAAGAGGAAGCATCCCAAATGCGTTGCGGGAAGCCCCATCTCTTCAGTTTACACCATAGAATTATGTGCAGGATCAGCTCGATTGTCATATTCTTTGGCAGCCTTAGGCTTCAAAGCCGTGGCAGTCGACCATGTCAAAAGGAGACACCAGTTTCATGCATGTATCAGCGTTGACCTCTCTAATGAAGAAGGATACCAGTTTGTGTATGACCTTCTGAAGACTGGGGCTGTGCTGTACCTTCACTGCGCGCCACCGGACAGCACGGTGAAAAATGCCAAGGAGAAGAAGTTGCCCAAGAAGGCGCGCCAGCATGGCGCTCGTGCACCTAAACCGCTGCGCATCTCTGCATACCCACATGGCCTGCCGGGGCTAAGCGGATGCGACAAGCTGCGTGTGACAAAAGCCAATCAAATTTTTTCCACCATTGCGGCGCTGGTTCGGGTGGCACTTCAACGTGGCACTGCCGTCACGGTGGAGAACCTCAAGAAATCTTTTTTGTGGTCCACCACTTACTTCAAATCCCTCATTGACGAAGGTCTCCTGCATGAGGTCTCTTTTCAGAAATGCATGTGGGGCGGCAAAAGGGATCAATGGTCTTCGTGGTACGCCTCCGTGTCCGATTTTGACATTCTGGAGGCCACATGCGATGGAAATCACGACCACCTGAAGTGGAACGTGACAGAAGTTCCTAATACTTGGAGGTGTGCACCTGCTGATGCGTATCCCTCTGTACTTTGTGACAAAGTTGCAAGTATCGTGCGCAACATGGCCCGTAACTGCAACGTGCAAGATGTCAGTGTTGGACCAGGCCTCAAACAAGCCAAAACTGTGCCAGTCATAATGGCAGCTGCGGGTAAGCAGCCCCGCGGTGATCGGTTCCCAAGCCTCATTACAGAGTTTGCCTACACTATTTGGAAAACTGTAGCTGGCACCTTTTTGGTCACCAAGGATAAGAAACTCACACGCGACCAATGCGAAGCTCTCAACATACCATTCCCTGCCAAGTTCCTCCAGGAGAAAAGGGGTGTGGCCAATGGAGTAACTGTAGATGCAATGCGGGAAATTGAAGTAGGCGTTTGGAGGAAGCCGGAGCAATTTGTGGACAGAGCGTTGCAAATTGGGCATCCTTTTGATGACTCCTCCGGAGTGGACGACGACACCAAAGTCAATATTTTCAAACTATTGACAGAAGGTGTTCTGGCAAGGCAGCAACGAACTGACGTTCTGCTTGACTACTATGAACAACGAGCAGAAGTTTTGCAACATGATGAGTCCCTCCTTCATGACCAGTTGGATCATGCCAGAAGTCAAATTGTTGACGGCAAGAGGTTTTTGTTGTTTGAAGAAATGTGCAGAGATGTGGGAATCATTGGTGAAGATCTGCGCCTTTTACAGCTACGAGGTGTGCCTCTGACAGGCGTTGATGGGCCTACTCAATTGTTCAGGCCAGAGCCCTTGAAACCTGCCTTGACAGAGCGGCAGCTTATGAAATCCTCAAAGTGGTCGCGAAAGATGATCATGAAGAAGACAGCAGAGAGCCCAGACCCAGATGTTAGATCTGCAGTCTGGAAAATAACTATGGAGGAGGTGGAGCGTGGCTGGCTACAAGGCCCTTTTGATGAGTCCCAAGTGAGGAACATGCTAGGTCCTTTGTTTGTTTGCTCCAAAAGGTTCGGCTTAGTCCAGACCGACAAGGTTCGGCAGATCGACAACATGTCAGAAAGCCTGGTGAATGCTGCGTATGGTTCCAGTTACAAGCTTGATTTGGAGGGAGTGGATGGCATTAGCGTTTTGGCTCGCACCTTTGTGGAAGCCACTAGTGATGATGGTGTCGTTTCGGTTACCTTGAAGGATGGTAGCAGGCTTGTTGGTCAACTGCACGGCGACTTTACGGTGGAGTCGGCTAGATCAATAGGTGGCAGGACTCTTGATCTCGATGCCGCATACAAGCAAGTACTGGTTGCTAAGTCGTCTTTGTGGTGCAATGTACTGGCGGTGGAAGACGAGCATGGGGAACGACGACTGTTCGTGTCTCAAGTTTTGCCGTTTGGCGCGTCTGCCAGCGTATTTGGGTTCAACAAAATAGCACGAGCTATCAGGAGGGTCGGCACTTCCCTGTTTGGGCTTGTATGGAACAACTACTATGATGATTTTCCTCAAATAGATGTTTTAGCTGACAACGACTGGGCGCAACGCACTGCTGAGAGATTTCTGACGTTAATTGGCTGGCGTTTTTCAAGGAAGGACAGCAAGCGCTTGGGTCTGGCCGTCACTTTCTACGCACTGGGAGTGAAATTTGATTTTAGCCGTGCCAGTTTTGGAGTTGTCAAGGTGGCCAACAAAGCTTCTAGAGTCGAGCAGCTGGTGTCGGACATTCGGAAGTTTCGGCGTGAGTCACAGTTAACCGCGGCTGCAGCTGCCACTTTTGCGGGAAAGATGCAGTTCGCCGAGAGCCAGACATATGGACGTGCCGTCTCGCTGCATATGAAACAGATTAGACAAAGAGCGTGTGGAAACAAAGCTGGCAAACATGTAACCCCTGAAATGTTAGGCGAGTTGGATTGGGCGTTGGAGTTTTTGCAGTTGGACCACCCCCGTCTTCTCCATGCACATATGTCCGACAGGAAGCTTGTCATTTTCACTGATGCTGCGCTAGAAGGTGATGACACAGTGGGATCCCTTGGTATGGTTGCCTACTGGGCGGTGAAGGGGAAGGTTACTCAATCGTATTTCTTCTCCGGCACCGTCCCTTGTCACATTCTGGAATCTATGCAGGGGACTACACGCAAAGTGATTGCTGGCTTAGAACTTCTTGCGGGAGTTGTAGCGCTCCATCTTCTGAAGGGCCGGCACCCTGATGGTAGAGCGTTTCTGTATGTAGATAACGAAGCTGCTAGAGCTAGTCTCATCGCCATGAATTCTTCAATAGATGTACATAGTCGTCTTCTGAGGTTTCTTTGCCGTTTTGCAGCATCTAGTTCTTTGCACTTGTGGATGTGTAGAGTGCCATCTGCATCAAATCCGGCAGATGCACCATCTAGGCATGAAATATCCCATTTGGTCTCGAACGGATTCACCCAGTTGGAAATCCCTTGGCATGACGTCTCAACTTGGCTGACTGACGCACGTGTGTGAAAGTGGGAGAGACCTGCACACGAGCTCACACACTCAGGCAAAGTGCCGTTGTGAGTGATGTCCAAGATGTTTGGTGAGTGTGATTACGAGCCGTTGCTTTTTGTTTTTCCTCTTGATAGGATTTCACATCGGTCGACCCCGCTTCGAGAAAGGCCTTGCATCTGGTGTGCCCTCAGTCAAGTCAAGAGAAATGTGCAAACTAGCAACAAGATCAGAAACGCAAGCATGAAGTGATGACCTTGTTGCAAGTGCAGAGTGCATCAATGTGATCACGCCGCATTTCTCTTTCCAAGGGAAGGGTGGGGGGGCCCACCGATGTGGTTGGGCATGAGAAAGCCCCCCCGCCCGCACCAAGGAACAGTCATCCGGGAGAGACCTGCGCACGAGCTCACACACTCAGGCAAAGTGCCGTTGTGAGTGATGTCCAAGATGTTTGGTGAGTGTGATTACGAGCCGTTGCTTTTTGTTTTTCCTCTTGATAGGATTTCACATCGGTCGACCCCGCTTCGAGAAAGGCCTTGCATCTGGTGTGCCCTCAGTCAAGTCAAGAGAAATGTGCAAACTAGCAACAAGCCACGTTCTTGGCTCCAGCTCCGACACGCTTTTGATGCTACGCGCTGAACCTTCTCTTTGAACAGTCCGAGATGCTCTTGTTGCTACGGTCCACCACAATCAGCTTAATACGCTCTTAACTTTTTCTTGGAACTTCCAACGCGGCTCTTGTTGGTGCTACGCTCCGCCTCTTGACGCTGTGGTTTGGAGAAAGTCACGCTCTTGGTGCTACGCTCTTAGCTTTGTTCTGGAACACGCAGGCCAGGACGCTCTAGTTGCTACGCTCTTTTTTCTTGCTCAAGCATTCCAGCATGCTCTGGATGCTACGCTCTGACCTCCAACACGCTCTGGATGCTAGACTGTTGATCCTTCAACACGCTCTCTTGGCATTACAGTACTCGCTTAGCTTTCTCTTGGAGCTTCCAGCACGCTCTTGGTGCTACGCTCTTGACTTCCTCTTGGAATTGCCAGCGTTCTTTTGATGCTAGCCTCCTGACTTGCCCTTGGGATGTTGAAAACGCTTTTGGTGCTATGCTTTTAGTTTTGGAACTAACAACACGCTCTTGATGTTACGCACTAACCTCCAGCATGCTCTGATTGCTACAGTTAATATTTTTTGTTGAACTTCCAGCACTCTCTTGATGCTACGCTGTGAGCTTTCTCCTGGAGCACTCCGGCACTCTCTTGGTTTGTGTTTGTTAAGAAGCTAAGAAGATAAACTTCAACTTAATGATTGATCCTTGCCTCAAGGACTTTCAACTGAGATTGCAAAAACGCGCCACATGATCTTGATTGTCCTGGGTCAGCATGTGGTCCCATAACCCTTTCCTACCAGCTGCCGAAATTTCGCAATTTGCAAAACCCCCCTGTAGTACCTCTTCACCTTATATTCACGTCGCTTCGCGACGGCAACCGCCCGCACCGCATCGTTGGGCAGCCGCTCGTAACTGCCAATGATGTCGGCCATTGAGACCAAAAACATCCGAAAGTACTGATTGTCGGAAAAAAAAACGCGAAGAATTTGATAGCCATGTATAGCGGACCAACGCAGTTCAAAAAATAACGAAAAACATGAAAAAACGGCGAAATTGCTGTTATTTACAGTGTTTTTGCGCGGTGAGAAGCAGAAACCACTGCAAATACCATATGGTTTTTGAGGGTCAGGTGGCCAAAAACACTGTAATTTACAGTGTTTTTTTAACCAACGTCAAAAAACACTGGTATTTACGATGTTTTCATTCACACCGTAACATAAACCAGCGTAATTTATAAGGTTTTTGGAAGTTTTGAAGCTAGCCGTCAAGCATGCAGAAAACAGAAAAACACTGTAAAAACCAGTGTTTCTGCTATCACAAAACGACGAAAATCAGTCCGAAAACGGGTCCAAAAACTCAAAAATCCGCCGGGCCCGGCCACCTGCGGAACCGCAAAAAAAGATGTTGCAAACCAAAAAATTGAGGTCAAAAAGTTGAAAAACACGGTGTTTTTTCACTTTTCGCTTGCCGATTTTGGACGGGCGCGTTCACGAACAGGTGTCTTCCGTACTGTTTTTTACAGTGTTTTTTGAAGGCGAGCGTCACGACCTATCAAAAACAGGAGGTTTTGGCCGAAAAATGCCCCCCTCCCCCCAGGTAAACCTGTAACCTTTTACGAGTGCCATCCGGAAGATCACGCCCCAGCACCTTCGGTGCGGCGGATTTCTACATAACCTAAGCCTTGGTGATCAGACCAAATCCCTTTCTGCCCTCCGGCTCCTTTTTCTCCATCTACAGTCCTCTATCTATATTCTCACATACTACTGTACGCCTGCGCCCTTGCTCCTCATGCCTAGCCCGCCAACAGGCAATGCGTCCTCAGGCAATGCGTCGTCAGGCAATGTGTCGTCACAATGCGTCGTCAAGGGAGTAATGCGTCGTCAAGAGGCAATGCGTCGTCAGGGAATGTGTCGTCAAAATCCGTCGCCAGCGGGTAACGCGTCGTCAAGGGGCAAGGCGTCAGGCAATGTGTCGTCACAATGCGTCGTCAGAGGTTAATGCATCGTCAAGGGGTAATGGGTCGTCAGGTACTGTGTCGTCACAATGTGTCGTCAGGGGTAATGCGTCGTCAAGGGGTAACGCGTCGTCAGGCAATGTGTCCTCATAATGTGTCGTCAGGGATAATGCGTCGTCAAGGGGTAATGGGTCGTCAGGCAATGTGTCGTCACAATGCATCGTCAGGGGGGACGGGAATCATCGGGAATTGGTCGTCGCAATGCGTCTTCAGCGTCAGTGCCAAAAGTCATACCCAAGCTGCGGGTGCACTACATACATATACGTACGTACATATACATGTTACATATACATATACATGTACATGTACATGTACATACCATAACATACATATACATACACATACATACATATATACGTACATATATACATACATATACATACATACACATACAGATACATACAGATACATGCATACACATACATAAAATATACATACATTTACATACACATGCAAACACATACACACACATACACATACATACACACATACATACACATACACAATACGCATACATACACATACATGCACATACATACACACATACAGACATACATACATGCATGCATGCATACATTCATACATACATACATGCATACATACGTACACATACATACATACATACACATACATACATACATACATACATTCATACATACATATACATACAGACATACATACATACATGTACATACATATACATACATATACATACATATATGCAGGCATACAAACATACTTACATACAAACGTACAAACATACAAACAAATAAACACACATACACATACACACACATACATACATACATACATCCATGCATACATACATACATACATACATACATACATACATACGTACGTGCGTGCGTGCGTACATACATACATACATACATACATACATACATACATACATACATGCATGCGTATGCACATATGTCACATACGCATATACATATAAGTATACGTATACATATACAGATACATATACACATACATACTTACGTACGTACGGACGTACATACATCCATACTTCCATACGTCCATTCATCCATACATCCGTTCATCCACCCACCCATACATACATATATACATGTCTATACATCATTGAAAATTTACTAATAGCTGTTTTGTTTTTTTTCTTTCCGCCTTTCCAAACTATTTTGTTTCTGCTGTTCTCCAGGAGAAACATCCTGCCATTTGCACCTCTATCACACGATTGCAAAAAACCCGATTGACAACTTTGAAAGTGCAACTGAATCTCTTGGCCACGTTGTTGAGTTAATTCAAACAAATGGAAACATATATGCAGATATATGCAGTAGAGTTGCTGATAACTACTTCATAAACATCCTTTTTGTTTGAAGGTTGCACCCATTCCTTTTTTTATTGACAGGAATGTCAATTTTTTGGTGGAAGATTGCATACGCTGCATTGGAAGGGATTCATCGGGGTCCTACTTTTTACAAAGGTGCAAATATACAGAAAAAGTGATGGTTCAAGGGACTGGATCTTTCAGAAATGAACCACAGAAATAAATCAAAAATAAATCAGAAAACATAATCCCCAGAACAGAAAACAAAAACAACCAGGAAACGAAGGATCTTTGCAAACACCCACATCTCCAGGAAACGTTTTGGAATTTTTCTCCGCAGATAGTGTTTGCTACAAGGATTTCAGCTCACCAGGGTGCCGCTGCCGTTTGGCGTGTTCGAATGTTAGGTTCTGCAAGGTGTGGAGGTTGCACTGCCGCAGGTGCAACTACAGGTCTCACATGGTGTGTTCTTGTACTCCATGATCCGGCCAGGTCTATAATGCGGTTGTGTTTTTATGATTTTTTATGTATCTCTCTGGTTGCTTTGACTTCCTCCTTTGCTGTCTTTATTTGTACCTCCTATGATTCATTGTGTGTTGCCAGAATCAATGGGAACTGGCAAATGAGGCTGCTGCTGCAGCAAGTGCCTTGCCTTTCCAGGCCGGAATCTCTGTCAGTTTGGAAGAGTATGATGCTGCATTTATGACGCTCCGAACTGTTGCTTGTGGCAGAGACAAGTTCGACAGTTTGCTGGTCGCATGTTCCATACTTCTCTTGCTATATCAGCATTCAATCCATGCCACGATTGAATGCAGAGGCAGTGCGAATGTGGACATCAAAGGTGCAGTCTGAGATGCCATCCTCAAGGCGGTTGGTTAGCAGTCGCTTCTTTGCTCATGCTTTGGCATTGCCAGTAGAACACATTCGTTTCTAGAAAGCTAAGCCAAAAAGAAGGCTTGTACTTGAACATTGGCTGATAAGTAGGGGTCAACGCAATGCTTCCCTGGGCCCATCCGCCCATCCGCATTGTTGTTGAAGATTGGCTGTCGGCATTTGCCTTCAGGTCTGACATCAAACTACCACCTCTGCGGCCTGGTGTTGTTTCGGAGAGACCACTGCCGAAAGGTTCACGTCTTCCTGGCCTGTTCTTTTTATCCCTCCAGTTGGTAGAGCCTTGTAGTGGAGTGATGGTGAAATGGTGAAATGTATTGAAACGTATTGAACTGTATTGAAATGTCAGGTTGGCGCGACCTGTGGAGCAAGAGTCGATGGAGTCTGATGTTGCAGCCTTAATCTTGCTCTATATAGTATATTTTGATCATGCGGAGTGTTTGTTGCATTCGCTTCCCTTGATTTAGTGCAGGCTCCCTCTGCTTGCAGCCCTACCTGGTGTGCTGCTTGGGTTTTTCCCTTCGAGCAGGACAGCTGCTCTTGCGTGTTACGTGTGGCAGCTGACTCTGCCAAACAACATGACTTGACAGCGCAATTTTGAAGGCCGTTTGAGCACAGGGCTGTTGCATCAACTGCGGGAAGCAGCTTTGTTGCAGGGCCCCAAGGATGTAATGCTACTATAGCTGTCCTTCAATATGCTGACAGGAAACTCCTCTCAAAGCTGGCTCTTCCACATTCAACCTGCGGCGTAGTCCGATAGGTTTTTAACAAGACATGCCAAAGGCTTAAAGCGATCTCTGAATGGCTAGTCGGTCACCACATGTCATCACCACTCACTTTTCACCTCCTGGAAGGTCGCAGGCATGCTCTTCCTGGCAGAGCGTGCTCTTTTCCGTGCGGACCGTGCTGACAAAACATGTTATGCCTATTTTGTGCCTCGTGACATCGTACAGATTTGTACAGTGTTCCAGAGATTTCGAGTCATTCCGAGTGGTGAAGTGGATGTTGGTGAGGAACTGCTCATCGCAAGCCGCCGGATTGCTTTTGCGCTCACGGACACATTGGCAAACGAGGCACGCGTTTCTGCTTTGTCGGGAAATTGACCATGTTTTCTGCGCGGAATTTCATCGACTTGGGCTGAGATTGAGTCTACTCACTAACTATTGCTCAACAATGCTCACAATACAATTCCGCTCTTGCAGTCGGCAACAGATTTCAAACCATGGCCGACGGGATGTAGGGTGTCAGATTGTATTCAGGTAGGATGAGGGATAGTCTCAAATGGCAAAAGTAAGCCAACAGATAGAACTTCCCCGGTTTTTGTAGCAGCTTTGGCCGGGCATGCCTCTGACAAAGGCTGAGCAGCAAAGCGCTTTGCTACCAGTAGCGACAGTGGCGAGCTTACACATCCTTCGAATATCCTTTGATTTTCTTCCTTGGTTCTGCATTGACTAAGGCGGCCACGATTGCCATTTCTGGAGCTGTTACATTTGGGGTCGAACTGAATCCCTTTGCGGCTTCAGCGCTTGCACTCGTACAGGCTCAAAACATCCCAAAACGATTCAAAGCTGATTTGATGGTAGAGTCTCAGAGAGTGTCGGATGTTGTCAGACGCCTTTTGCGCAGAGGCTGTGACATGGATCTTGGCCTCGAGAAAAGCTCTTCAAGCAAGATATGGAAGCAATGCAGCCATTCAGGCCAAATAAGTTGGAAATAAGTTGGAAATAAATCCAAATAAGTTGGTTTCAGTTCGAGTTTCAGTTCGAGTTTGTGGGATCTTGTGGGCCTTTCTCACCTCACACTCACACTGAATCAGGCTGCCACTGTGACGGAAAACCGAATGGTTCGTCCTGGGCGTCCTCTAAAGGAGGGGCCGGATGCTTTCGTATCATTTCAATATATTTCAATTCAATACATTCAATATCATTCAATCTTCAATATTCATTTCATATCTTCCATATATTTCGATATTGTGTCTTCATTCCAAGGATTTCCAAAAGACATTGGAGATATTGGAGTGGTTCCAGCTTGGAAGCTGATGGATTGGTGAAGTGTGGCTGTTGAGATGTGTTGAGTGTTGAAAGGATGAGACCTCTCGGCGGTCCGGGAAATGGCGAAGCTTTGTGAGCAGTTTTAGTCGACCAATGCCGTGACACGGCCAAGGGGCCATGAGTCATAGCAGTCTGAGAAGAACTCTATGGTTTTTATATCTACTTAGAAATTTTCTTGTGGATTTTTCGAAAAAAAAAATGGTGGCGTGCAGGTTGGAAATCTTCCAGGAGCGGAACCACTTTTTCTTCGTCGCAATTTTTTGGAAAGCCTTGTTTCCTTTGTGCATTGGTTGAACTTTCAAATGGATAGATGGGGGACCCCTTTGGTCTGCAAGTGGCACCAATGCTCATTTGCTTTGAAAGATAGTATTTCTATTCTATACAGAATGTTTGAAGAACGTTTGGGGTCCTCGAAGAATGCAGGTTTCATGCCCTTAATTTCGCGTCAGCGATTCAGGTATATCATATCATTGTAAGTTCCAGGAGTCTTGTGTTCGTTTTAAAGTATATAATTGCTGAATTCTGACCTGTATTACTCAAGACGTTCATGGATTCACACCTTCAATACCGTGCCCTTCGCGACTTCAATGGATCAGCGAGGCTGCTGATTTTGGTTGAATACTGTAGTTGGCAACCGTATCTTTTAGGCTTAAGCCATTGAAAACTCTCGATGCCGGGCCTTTGCGTACATCCATACCGCAGCAGAAACAGAGGTGCTTGGCTTTGATTTAGATGCATGGTTGTGGCTTGGAAGTACTGGCTGGAGGACATTGTAAGACACGAAAGCTAGCTACTAGCTGAAGTCCCTCTTGCTTTAGCAAGGTATTGGGGGGCCGGAATCTCCAATCGCATGAAACTTCATAGTTATACCATGTTATACCCCCCTCCTCCCCCCTTGGCTGGCTGGTTCACAAGCAGTTTGGCCGTGGCTCAATCCCTCGTGGGGACACTGTCGGCAGCACATTCGGCAGCATCCGCATCGTCAGCATCATTGTGTCATGCAAAGCTCCCTGCCAAGCTGGCTTTCGTCCCATTTCGTCCCATTTCGTCCCTTACCCCTGGGGCCTCAAATGAGATTCCCGAACTTCACACTTTTTGTTGAAGCGTTCTCCGTTGAGGTGGGAGCACTCTCAATGATGGTGTTACGGGTCGAGGACTTAGCGGTTTCGGCTCCTTTGGATTTTGGCCAAGCTAATTGAAGCGCGTTTTTATAGTGTTTCACGCTGAATAGCCGCTGAATCGGTCCAAGGCCGTGCTGAGAATTTGCCAAGTTACAGGTGCTCATTTGATCTCATTGGCACATGTTGGCACATGTTGGCACATGTTGGCACATTCCATGTTTTCCCTCAGTATGAGCTATAGCAGTACTATCGCAGTACTATAGCAGCTACTTACAGCTTCTTGCTTCCACTGCATCCGCCTCTTTGGTCTGGTGAGACTCGCAGTTTTGTCAGTTTTGTCACAAAAGGTCTGGTAAGCTTCCTCGATGCCAGTCCCAGCGAGGCACCAGCCCGGCACCAACACGATGCCACTTGGATCGATCTTGACATATCTGAAGACATCATCACCGTTTTGACATTTTCAGATTCAGATAATTTCAGATACCTGTTTTTTTCCCCTCGGCTTGAATCCATTTTTTTGAGAGGCATTTGTCTCTGAGTGTTCAGAGTCAGAGCTGCTTGCAGTGGAGGAGCTGACAGTACTAAAGACGTCCAGCTTTGGTGAAAGGATGTGGGAGGTATTGGTGGGCGAAGGGTATATGTAGATTGCATCATGTGGGTCACCGGAAGTATGGGTTAAGTATAGCATAGCATGAAAGAAGTTGCCCAGGTGAGGAAAAGGATTGGATCGGAATCTGTATAAGCGATGATACTTGTGAACTCAACCTCTCTGCAGGATGATGCATTAGCTGCTTCAACTCTACTTCTTCAAGTCTTTTGGCAGATAAAGTAGTCGGGAATCTGCATCTTTGCCTCAAAGAGGGCAGCGCCACCAGCGAAGTGCACGGGCATTCACTTCTAACCTGAGGCCAATATTCATCAATCACGGGTCGCGACGGCCGGCTTCCAGGAGGTTGGGACATGTAAACCAACTGACAATCCCAAGTGGCTAAAGTGGCTCAAGTGGCTCAAGTGGCTAAGCATTTGAAGGGATCCATTGGGGTGGCATGGGAATGGCCTACCTTCAACACTTGATCTTCCGATCCCGCTGGAGTGAATTTGATTGTGAGATCTGCAAGAAAGCAAACATTTGAGTGCATTGTCTCATATTGTTTCAATATATCAACATTTTCGAATCATTTTGTATAGCGGTCCGCTTCACGCAGGCGAGAGTTCCATCCAAGATTTATAGCCTGGATCCCAGTAGCCAATGTGCTGAGAACTGCCTTTGAGGACTTCACAGCTTTGGATTTACCGGTTGTACAAGTCCGAATGGAGAGCCTCTCCTCGCAATCTGAGGTTTGTTTTCCCACTTAGAAGGGGATGAGTGTCCACCTCAGTTCGTCGAAGCTAAACACAGCCTGAGCAAACCAGTGGCCTAAGAGTTGGATAGGTTGGATAGGTGCTAGATGAGCTTAACGCCGCTTGACGCCGCTTGACGCCGCTTGACTCTCCTTGACCGTGTCTTGACCGTGTTATCCAAGGTTTGACAGTGTTCTGGCCAACACGACTGAAATTCCTGAGGCTGGAACGATGGGGCAACTCATCACAAACCATCCACCAGTCCCAACTCAAGGGGCCACACCGGCAACATGGCATGCAAAACTGGTTCCTGTAGGAAGCTAGCGATCTTTGGTTCGGGATCTCAGAATGTGACAGAGTTTGTGTTACGGTCCTACGGTTCAGAACTGAGGAATACAGATGAGAGTCTGATGAGTCTGATGAGGATATCATGGGACAGTTTGACTCCAAATCCCAGGCCAGTCCTGCAGCTGGTGAACTCTGGAAAGGACAAGGCCTGATTTGCCTTCGGCACGCTCCTTGCTGTTCCTCGCTTTTTCTTGTCTTGATTAATCGGAGATGGCAGGCAGAGTCCGATCCAATGTGGGCCAGCGTTCATGAGTTGATTCGACGCTTTGCAAAGCTGGCTAAATTGGGCTGAGCACAGTGAGATGCGAAAAGGAAGTTGCATGAATTAGCTGATGCTGCTTGGCAGCTTGGCATGGCACACTGATGCTATATAACTTGCTTCATCCTGCCAGTTGAAGAACTCAAATTCAGAGGCTGAGGAGCTGGTTCGGCTGGGACCACAGCACAGGACTTCCAAGTTTCCTAAGTGTGAGTTCGACTTAATTACTGGTTCTTAGGCTGTGCCAGAGTGGAGATATGGAACAGTTCAGCAAGAAAGGGCGCTGGCCTCGTCAATTCAAGCTAAAAGCTTTGGGCAGTCTTCATAGTTACATGTGCTGCATTTTATTAGGACAGGATATGTAAGAGGACACTGCCTGAATGTTTCAAGCACAGTTTGCTGCAAGCCAAGCGGGCTCCTACCTACTTGTTCAATTTGTTGCTCGAAGCGTGAAGATACAGGTAGTATGGAATGTCATGGAATGTTCAATGTTTGAAAAACGGACAAAGACTTGGAGGTTTCAATAGTTTCAATATGTTTCAATGACCATTCTGTGAACATATCGCAGGTGCGCCAGGCCTGATGGACAGAGGCTGATCAATGGTATCCCTGCAGATCGTCATGTACCCAGAGAATTTTGAGGTCCGTTCTGAATGGTGAAGGGGTACTGACGGCGCGTACTGACGGCACTGTGTATTTCGCCAAGGCTACTTCTGTGGCGTACAAAACTCTGGGTTGGTGCCTTGTGAAATTTTGATGCATCGCACATCACCAGACCGGAGCTTGACACGGGTGAGATTCTTGGACTGCTCAGGATCAATTGGGGCTCGGAGAAGGTGATCAACTTGTGCAGAGCCGAAGTGGGTCGACCCCCAAGATGACATAAAATGACGCAATGTGCTGAATCATCAGGAGATCAGTGAATACTGGCCTTGTCGAGGTTCAGCTTATACCCTGAGCGGGTTTTGTGGCAGCTGGATGCTGAGACCTATCTTTGCTGCGTAAGGTCTATTGGGTCGACTACAACTGACAGCGACTAGCACGGAGTCACCAGACGTCTCAGGGGGGTCGTTTTGAAACCAAGGCTTGAGCAAGAAGCAGCTTGTGTTGAACTTCCTGAATGGCGTCAAAGTCCCAGAAAGTCACAACCAGGTGCCACAGTGCCACCAGCTGATCAGCTTGAGACAAATGTCCCCCGTGTGAGGTGCATAAGACCAAGGAGGATCCCAGATACATCAACGTGCCGTGCCATGCCTGAAGTTCCTGGATTCAGTCGCACGCGGACCTATGTTGAATGGAATCCAAAAAGCTTGGGTTGCATCCAAAAGTTTACCCTCTGGTGAACTAACATAGCAATTGAAAATGGCCATTTATAGTGGATTTTCCCATTAAAAATGGTGATTTTCCATTGCTATGTTAGTTCACCAGAGGGTACAATGACTCTTGAGGTCTGTGACCTGCATCATGGACTTAGCGGACTGTGATATTTACTTTTGTTGGATTCTTAGTCAGCAGTTCATGTCCGATGGCCTGATGTGGACATGTTCAACCTTTTGCACACCTGAACAAAGATAAACTATATCCAACTATATCCAACTTTATCCACCTCTGCAACTTCCTAATGGATAACTATGAGCTCTCTGTACCAGCTTTTGATGACACCCTGAGGTCAGCACTGCTCGCATGTAGGCTGTGTACATAGCACCAATAGTTCCGTATAATATATAGATGGCCAGAAATTGCCAGAAACTTGGCTTGGTGATGTACCAGGAATTACCAGGAACCGCGAGACAGGGCTGGTCCGGTTCCTGTGAGTTTCACTACACTACAGAGAAACGCTGAGCAGGTGCTGGTTGGTGTCTTTTGACTGGTGCTGAGGGATTGTTGCAGAGTCCCAAGGATGTCTGAGAGTCTAAGCCCCAAATCATTGAGAAGCTTGAAACTTAATATAAACACAACTAGTTTCGATAAAGGGACGCGGATGGATGGAGGAAAGAGAAGGAAAGAGAAGGAAAGAGAAGGAAAGAGAAGGAAAGAGAAGGAAAGAGAAGGCATGGATCTAAAAGAGCTGCATGCTCTCAGCTTTCAGCTTCCGCAGCCCATTTCTCTCAGCATGCGGCAGATTCGGGGGGCACGTCTGGCACGGTGCTGGTACAGGAACAGCCTGCCCAGCTTTCCCAGCTTTGGAGCCTTCAGGGCAGCCGGCACAGCGAAACAACCGCAGGGACCTTTGTTGGTGAGTGCAACCGGTGCTCCTTTGTCCAGCTCCTCTTCTAGTGGTACTGGCCCTGATTTGGAGCTGACTGCGGAGAATGCGGCACAGGTCTTACAAAGTGGAAGTCCTTTTCTGCTGCTCGTGGGAGAGCTTGAGAACCAAGTGGCTAAAAAGATCGGAGGTTTGCAAAAGGCTGCTCAAGGCCGTCTTCCGTTGGTGAGGTTGAACTGCAGCACGCTTCCGCAAGTCTGTCAAGCGTTGCAGATAGCTTCTTCACCCACTTTGTTGCTTATGGCCAAAGGGCAGGCGGGAGTGTCTAGAATGTGTTCAGGATGCCTAACTCACAACACAAGATCAGTTGCCCCATGCTAGCGGCTAGCGGCAAGGTTGTCACGGCTCTAGAAAGAGACATCTCTGCTCCTGCTGCGACCACCTTTGTGGAGAATGTTGCGCAGATGCTGGGGCTGAAGGCGAGCAGAGTGCCACCATGTGCCACCTGGTTGTGTATGTGTGTATTCATTTCAAGTCCCCCAGGATCACATAAAACACGCATGTCCATTTGAAACTCAAGTGGCACTATCAATCAGCCACACATTTTATCCCAGTATATCCCAGTATGCTTCAACGATATGTCAAGGATAGTTTGAGGCTGTTCATTGCATCTACGGCCTGACATGCCTTTCCTCAAGTTTAAATGGATCGCAAGTGGCTTGATTTGCCCAACAAGATCCAACAAGTGTCAATTTTCGTCAATTCTGAATTTCTGAATCAATTCTGAATCAATTCTGGTTGGAACTGATATGTTTGAATAGATTTCACTAACTTTGGATGACAAGTGATTATACTTTGATGACAATAGCTAATAGTAACATAATGGATGACAATTGAATATAAATGATATGTATATATATATATGTATATTATATATATATATATTATATACATATGTATAATGATATACAGTATATATGTCATGTCAATTAGATGTGTTTAATAACTTCGATGCATCCCGTTCCGGAGGTGGACCTCGCGGAAGCCGTCACCGAGCAGCTGAAGGAGGCGGAGGAGCTGGAGTGGAGCGACGCAGCGCTGGCAGAACGGAGCTACGACACGGCGACATGACCGAGAAGATTTCTGGGGATTTAATATGTTCCCTGCAACCCCCTGGTTCGCCCACACTCAAACAACACATCCAAACAATATGATATACTTATCACCAGAGGATGAATGAAAACACTGGCTATACGCAGTGATTTTGACTTTAAGTTTTCAGGATTTAGCGTTTTAATTTAGGGTTTAGGGTTTTTGGTTTTAGGGTTTTAAATTTTACGGTTTTGGTGTTTGTTGTGTTGGAAAGTAAAAAACTTAAACCTTGCGCAGGGATTTGAGCATGTCAAAGGATATGCAGGATTGGCCGCGGGCAAACCAGGGGTTGCAGCGAACATGTTTCAACATGATTTTAACATGCCTGAACTGATTTAATTAGGGAATTGACTAGGATATGATTGGGGATATCATAAGATATATGACCAACTATATCCAATTTGGGTTTATCTGAAAGTAGGGTAACCCATTCCATCCACTGGTTAATTGTCGTCCATTTTTTGGGTATTCACCATTTTCAGACAGACCCATATCTAGATGGGGATGGGTTAAAACTTCCAATGGTTTTCCAGTGGTTTTCCATCTGAATCGGGATGAACAGAAGGGGACTGGGGTTTTGACCCATTACCATCTCTGGGTTCTGTCCAAAAATCACTGATATCATAGAATACTCCACAAACATAGGGCAAAATTCTGGGAAGATGATGATAACTCATGAACCATGATTTGGGGGCTTACACCCTACAAATTGCAATTTTAATGGGAACTGGGTATCGGTTTGAGATAAAACTTACCATGTTGTGGGTTCATTGGTTCCTCAGCCTTGACCCATACCGGCATCTGAAGATGGTGGGATGGGGAAGTAATGGGAAGAGATGGGAAGAGATGGGAAGAGATGGGAAGAGATGGGAAGAGATCGAACTCTGGTTTAGGACAAGCACTGAAGTGTCCCACTTTGTCAATTTTAAGGCCCCTGATAACTGACATTTGAGGTTTTGAGCCGCTCGGACCTCCAGAATGACGCCAGAATACGAGCTCTTGCGGGCCGTGCTCGATGCTTGTTGAGGCACATTGCGGTAATTCCGAAGAGTCACTGGGAATGAACATAAACAGCAACTGCATATGGTGCTCAGACAATTATGAATGTATGACATGGTGACACGGAAATTGCATTTCTGTGCATCTGGGTTTTATGTGTACTTAATTGTACTTACTTACGCAACTGTTTCTCTCTGTCTCGTGGTCTTGGTATCGATATTAATATCTTGGCAAGCATCATGCGTATATCTATATGTGTGGACATGTGTGGACAGGTGTGTATTGACATATTTACATTAGAGATACACACAGACAGGGAGATCTACATCAGTTTAGACAGTTTATAAATATACCATCTGGTTATTTAACATAGCCATGGAAAATCACCATTTTTAATAGGTAAACCATCTATAAATGGGCCATTTTCCATGGCTATGTTAAATAACCACAGGGTATACATCCGATGCTTTTGGGTCTCTTACAAGGCGTTGTGCCACAAGTTGCTGTGGTCAGGCGCCGAGATGTGTCAGCAGCGCAGCAGTCAAAGCTTCTGTTGGAAGAGTTGCAGAGTCAGGGACATGGAGGTTTGCCAGAGGTCTGAAACTCAAAGTAAAAAATGATGCCTTGCTTGGCTCTCCGTGACTGAATCTGGGACAGATTCATCAATTCTGGCCTACAAATTGCCTTGGTGCTGTTGGAGCAGATTGGCGGTTAAGTAAGTTACAAAGAAAAGGCTGAAAGGGTGACCTAAACTCATGCAGCGATGAAGGCCCAGCGAGAGACTTGCTTGCTCACTTCACAGAAAGAGTTTCGCCGCGCTTGAAGACCTTTGCAGCAACAGACTGCCACAGGTCAAGCAAGCAGTTGCTATGCAGTGGATTGACCAGAGACAGCGCGAATTAGGTGCCAGACGACTCGTCATGTCCTGGTGATGCGTTGTTCGCGAGTTGAGAAATGTTGCTGGCAAAGACCATGACTCGTTGTACCCTTTCAGAGTCAATGACCTAGAGTCATATTTTGGGGTCCCAGACAAGTGCAGTTTCGATTCATGCTGCAGCTCACAAATTCGCAGGTCAGACGAATCTGCAAACTCTCAAGGCCATGAAAGAATTCTTTATGTGACATGCTGAAGACACTTGCAAAGGATACTCATCAGAAACGAAGATGTGGGTCCGCGGTGGGTAAAAGACACAGTACCAAACGACTTTCAGCCTTAGTGCGTCCAACTTGTCCCCAACATGTTCAGAAGGACCCCTTCCGAAGGCTTGACCATCAAAATGGGCATATGTTGAGCCAGGCAGCGTGGGAGGCAGATCCCACAGATCTTGCTGCAGTTCAGGCCATGACCTTGGGATGTGAGATTTTTTGGTGCAGGAAAACAGATGAGGGACGGACAGCCGGACAGCAGACATGATTTGTACTTGGATCTTTGATGGACTTTCATTGCTTTGACCATCTTTGGCCCAAAAAGTTCTGGACATGTCGTTTTCAGGCCTATGCCGTGTCAATCTTCTGGGCGAAGGGAGAGGTGGGCGCTCTGGGGCTGGCCAGGTGGATGGAGGCTTCATGAGATTTTTAAATGGTGTGTTTCGCCAAATGCTTGTGGAATCATTACATATGTGACTGTCATACAAGTCCACACACGACTCTGTCTTGTCCTTAGATTCTTAGAGTCTTAGATCACAACATATCACAACCATCATCTAATAGGGATCCCATGATCTTGGTGTGATATGGTGTGATGCGAGTCGGTCTGTTTCGTTTGAACCAGGTGGATGCATTTGAGGCTGGCCTGTCGCTGCTCCGTCGGAAGCGATCCGATGAGGCCAAAGACATCACATCCAAAGACAAAGCGCAGAGTTGGAAACAATTTGCTAAAGGATTCGGAAGCATGTATTATACTATATGATTATATGTATTTCTATGGCTAGCTCTGCATCTCTTATTCCTTGCTTTTGAGAAGATCTTGTTAACGGGGGGCACAAACTACAGTGGCTACAGGGGCCCGACCGTTTTGATGATCTTGATGGTTGAGTTTGAATTTGCAAATGGGATGTCAACTGATGCCAAGCTCTGCAAGTTGCGTCAGGCACGGCAGTTGGTGCTGTCTTTGGTAGAGGCTCTTGGGCCTCAGCACCCGCGCAGTGCCTCTGCCAGGAGGCTCCTGGGCTTGGGGTATGATCGTACTAGAGGTGGAGAGCATGGCATCATTGGATGCATGTTGAGTAGTCATTGCTGAGAGAAGTTGAGTTCCTTTATGGATTAATTTAGAGTGACCCTTCGGAAATATTTGCATAAATAATCTTGAGGAACCCATTCTTGTACGAAGCAATCATAGAACATAACAATTAAGCTTGTCAATGGGTCTCACAGTGGCAGTGCATATGCATGAAACGAATTCCTGGACATTGATCACGTTGACTCCTTTGGCTACTCCTTTGGCTTCTTCGGCTCAAGGCTTTTGCACACTTGCAGAGCCATGTTCAATAGTTCAATGTGAGGATCATTTCTACATGAACAGTCTTGCCTTGGACTACTTTGCCTTGGAGGAGGAGTCGGCATGGGCGCCACAGCCTGGCCATCCTGGCCATCCTGGTGATCGCTCTGGCCCTGATGTGCGAGTCGAGGATTTTCCTGTTGGTCAGGTGAAGTGGCACTGGGATGCACCTCCCTTGACGGCTGCACTGATGCAGGTCTACTGCCCCATGGCTCCTGACAGTGCTCTTGCTGAGTCACTCACTGAGTCACTCGCTCTCACAGAACTTGCTGCGGAACTGGACTGCTTCTGCTGCAAAGCTTCCGCTGTGGTGCAGTTTCCAAAAGTCGTACCACGGCCACGGCAGAAACTGCTGGACGACGACGGATGGACGGGACACTCGGGATGGACTGATGCAGTCGGATGGTCTTCGACTCTGAACGAGGAGCTCTTGAATCTGAGCCGCCAGTGGTTGTCAGAGTACGCAGCTGAGAAAGTACAGGACATGAGCCCAGATGAGGCAGATGCCATCAAACAGGTCGATCAGGAATGCGAATGGATGAATCAATTTGCCGAATCTCATGACTGCTTGAAAGATGTTGAGATGCAAAAGAGCTTACCTGACACAGGGGAAGCCAAGACAAAGATGCTTGCCGAGAAGACCAATGCCAAGGTGGGCCAGGAGTCAATCGCACAGAGTGTCCCCAAGATCAGCTCACCATTGCGGGCTGTTCTTCCAGTGCAATCTCAGCATATGGATGTTACGGAAGCGTCCGTGATGTCTCAGGGTCCAGATCTTCCCAGCCAGGCCCAGGTTTTGGCCCCAGCTCCTCTCTCCAAGGTGTGGCGACCAGCTGAAACAGCTAGAGCTGAAAATGCTGGGAGGCCTTTGGTTCGATCCGTTCAATCCTTGGACCTCAAAGAACTGGGAGTCGACTCATTGCCGAGCATTTGGACTTTGGAAAATCTACCAGGGGAACAGCAGCTCCACCTTCCAAGTGTTTGTGAGCCTGGAAAGTTTGTGGTGGATGGACACCTTACGCTGCTTGGCACGTGAGCCGAGATTCCAACATTGAGAGCATTTTGTTTTTTTACGGCAAAGCAGTGTATGTTGCAACCAAGGTTTGACTGCTCTCCTCAAATTCTCAAGGCCATGGTCATTTGGGGCTCGTTTGTTTATTTTTTTCCTCTTCGACAGCTGACATTTCGGTGAAGTGAAGTTGCCTGAAGTTGTCTGCTGAAGCAGTCGCCAAGTTGCCAGGCATGCTCCGCCAACTTCTGGACTTTTGGCAAAGAAGAGATCCAAGATCTTCCTGCACCCAGCGACATGCCAACTCTGGCCATGCCGGAGGACCTTGCCCACGTCTTGCAGGGAGATGCCATGAGCTTTGTGAAGGCCGGACTGAGAAACGTGGCCGTTACATAAAGGCAACGAATACTGACAATATGAATGATAATGTAGCCGGTAGCCCTCCTTTTGGATTTAAGAAGAGGGATGAAGAGGGTACCAATATGTACCAATCAAACCCAGTTTGCGTGTGCAACTTGAGGTCAGTGCGCCGTGGTGTTCAGATGAAGGCAACATAGATGACCTGAAGAAGCTCGTGGCAGAGACGTCGGAAGTCTGCATGGAGCCAGGGCAGCCAGAGTTGAAGTACCAGTGGGATGAGCAACCTGACTTTGGAATACTTTAGATGGCCGGTTGTACATCGATTACATCGGTTGTACATGGTTGTACGATGTTTCAACAATTGTTCAGAGTTCAGACTATGTTTCTATCTGCTTCTATCTCTTTCTTTACAACTGGGCTGTGGTGACGTAGTCACGTAGTCATGCAATATACGTTGCAGCGAGGTGTTCCAGAAGTCTGGCTCCCCTTCCAGAGACAGCCCGAATTTCTGGCGACGAGACTTGGGTGAAGCACAACACAGGCCGATGCACAGTGGCCTTTCAGGACAGCATTTTTTGCTACCAGTGGAATCTGGGGAGAAGGTTAGGATGGTCAGGATGGTCAGGATGATCGAGTTCCTCTGTAATTCATTGTAATTCAACGCAGTTTTGATTCTGATTTGCTTGATCAAGCTGAGAATGTTTGTGATACTCTCACATTCCTGTATGTTGTATCGTGTTGGTTTTTCGCACTGACATGGGGGAGCAATTTCTAGACTCAGACTTCCAAGACATAAAGATAGCTAAGTTTGAAACTCTGGCACAGATGGTCTGCTGCCCGCTGCCATCCGCTGCCCTATTATTGTTTGCCATTCTTGGTAAGGTGTGATTTTTGAAAAGGATATCGGATACATGGCTCTTTCAACATTGTCTTAACTTGGAATATAGACACGCACTGGCCTGTGAGGAGCAAGGTCTAGATACTCATTTGTCCTTGCTTGGCGATGCAGCTCGGCGAAAACCAACTCAGCATGACTCAGCATGACTTCATTAAGGCCGGCCCAGGGCCCAGGGCCCAGGGCCCAGGGCCCAGGGCCCAGTGCTGAAGATAACCACGGCCCAGGTTCCCGATGAGTGCCAAGCTGTGTCAGTGGGTGCCAGTTTGCCAAAAGCAGCTGACGAGACTTGCCACTACAAACCTTCACCAGAGGAGAGGCTACTGGAACCCAATCTTTTTGGAGCAGGTTGTGCTCCTAGATTATCCAAACCAGGAATGAACTTATGAAGCGCATGTAGTGGCATTCATTTGTGGCAAGTATGGACACTATCCTCTCCACTTTTTGGAATTCCCCTGCTTGGAAACTGGATGCGAGCACTACTTTTCTAGGAGGGAATGTTAACCCAGCAATTGGAGACGGGCTCCAATTTCGCATGGGTGGCATATCGCCAGAAGCTGCCTCAACTTATTCCGCCACTGGGAGGCAGGGTCAGGATACTTTCTAGTTTCCAAAGTTGAGCATGGGATTTGGATTTCTTATGATTCTTTTGGCATGTCTATGGCTGATGTTTTCTGAAGTTTTCTGCCTGGCAATTGGCTCCAGAACCTGAACTCTCTAAGTCTTTGTTGTTCCAATGCTAAACTCCACGAGAGGTGTCGAGGAGCCGCTACCTGATTTGGAGAAGCTGCAAGAGCTGTTGAAGAAACATGAAGCCCGGCTTGAACTGAAGGAAAAGCCACTAAAGGCTTGGGCGCTTGACTTCGCTTTGGGATGCTGGGAAGCATGTTGCAGTTTTTTGTTTCTTGGCAAAGGAATCGCACTGGACTCGGTAGTTTCCATATCTGTAACTTGACGCTTTAAAGCGCAGGCCCATGATTTCGGAGATGACGAGAGCAAGGCCTTGGAGTTAAGTCTCTACCGGCTCCTGTGCAGCTTGCACGTTCGATGCTTACGCGGTGGAATTTGGCTGCTTGCCAGTTCATGTTTCTCATGCCAGTTTTTTCGAAGACGGTCTTGCCAAGGTGATTTTGCTACTCCGCGAGGATCTGAAGAAAAATGGAGTTCTTCATGCAATTTTCAATGCCATGTCAGCTGTGGCCAGGATCTCAGGACATCTCAGGACATCTCAGGACATCTCAGGTGATGATAGGTAGACTCGGTAGACCCTGAGAAATTTCCCTGAGAGCTGTCTTTTTGGATGCAGTGGCACAGACCAGACTGAGGCCCCTAAGGCCAAGCAGACGCAGTTTTTGAGCCAAATTCCGGTGTTGGTGACGGCAATGATGTCTTGCCACGACCTCCTGAGCTCCGTCCCAGTCCAGAACTTGACAGCACCTAGCGCTATTCCTCGGGAGGTGGGCTTACCGACATGTTTTCCTGCAGAGGATCTTTTCCTACTTTCTTGCTCTTTCTTTTTCTTTATTTATCTTTCTTTTGGTTTATTTGGTTTACACCATTTTATTACAAAGATCCCTAAAGCAGGTTCCAAAAAAGAATCAGCCGCATCAGTCATGTGCTAGACTTTTGCTTTTGCTGTGATTCACGTGTTGGGCCACGTGAGCTTCGTACACTCTGCATCTGAATCGTTGCTCCCAGTATCCTGCAAGACTGCACCAATCTGTGAGGCCAATGGAGTGGACGCGGGGAAAGCAAGAGACCTTTGCGAATTTGTGAATTGTCCAGGTTTGGTGGGAATGCGCCCACACTGAGGGACACACAGGGATGTGAAAATTGCCATAGGCCTAGTACCAAAGTTAAACGCCACAGTTTCAGATGTTTCAGTCATGCTTGGAATCCCATCTTCACTCATACAGACTGTACATGACTGTAGCATGACATACCCCAGATATCTCATGAATTCTCATGATATCTCCAACAGGTGGGTACCATGTGGGTACCATGTGGGTACCATGTGGGTACCATGTGGAACCACGTGGTGCCAGTGTCAGGCTGCCAGATCTCCGGTGCCACAGTGCCGATGTTGCGCAGCTTGGAACTGCCGCGGATCGAAGGTCTCAAGGTTGGGATGTCATATGGGTATGGGTCAAAACCTACTAAACATGTGGTTTTTCAGGGATGACCATCAACCTTGAGGTTCACTGGGGGTACAGGGTTTGACCCACATCCATATCTTGCTCCATATCTTGTACTTGTCTGACTTATCTGACTTATCTTGTCATGTTGCAGAGGCTTGACATTTTCCCTACAGGGAAATCATGGTAAACCAAAAGCGCGGATTTCGGTAGGAACATGTTGAACATGAACATCTAAAAATGATGGATGTGGATTCTGTGGATGTTCAACTTTCAGGTCTGTTACTCAGAAGGTAGCCCCGTAGCAGTGAAGACCAGTTTGTCTTATCGATAGTTTGTACTGTACCACTCGACTCACTTCTGACTATACATATATATAATTATAGGTATCACGAAAAGATCCAATGGTTAGATCCACCAATATACTGTAATTACACAGATTCATATACACACACACATTTATTTTAAAGATAAAACTATATGATACATAGTACATATACAGAATCAATCTAATCAAGCTTCAGAAACTACCTCTCTGTCACTTTGGACGAGCTCACGAGCCCGTGGCCGGGCCCCGCCCGTTTCAGGTGTTGCGCCGGAAGGCGATCGAGCAGAACAAGCGACTGGTGGTGCTTTTTGCATCCCAAAGTGTGCTGGAAGCCATCGCAATGACCATCGGAGCTGATTTGAGTGGCAAGGTGAGACGTGAGACGGGTTGCAACATGTTGCAACATCAGATAGTATCGAGGTGTATCCAGTGTAAAGATGAGAAGGATCCAAAAATAGGCACCTAATTACGCACCTATATCTTGAGAGGCCTGAGCATTTTGGCAGCATATTTATATACCTTGGAGATATTCAACGACTAGTTCCTTCACCTAGACACTTCACATGGAGGAAGGTTTGAAATTCCAATTTGGAGTTAGGACTTTCATCATTTATCTCGCATATCAACAAGCCACATCAACACTTGTGATTCCTTCTCGTGTTTGATGCTTCTGCACACTGTTGCGGTGGAGGCTCCCAGAGAGGTGGTGGCAGTCTCGGCTACGACGCCACCGTCCAAGTGCGAAGCGATGCTGCGGAGCAGTGCCACTGCGCTGATCCATGAGAGCATTTTGTCCTTCGCTGCTGCACAGCACCTTGGACCATCTGTCATTGTCTGCCATTCCTTATTTCTGAGGTTTGTTTGCGTCAGTAAACCAGATTTCCGATCTTTACGGGAAAGGAATAAACCTAATACTGATCAATGATTAATACTGTATTTGTTGTGTAGTTTATGAATTGCAGAACTGCAGCGCAAGAACCATAAAGAAGAACAACGAGAAGAACAACAGGAAGACAAGTAAATGTACGTACAAGTAGGAGTGCATGTACTGCGACTATGATGCAAGTACGACAACACCAGTGCAGCTTCTTTGGCCGCTTTTTTCAATGTTTTGCTTGTTGTAGCTATCCGGCTAGCGTGTTTCTTCAGCTCAGAATAGCTCCAGTGTGCACTGGTTCGCCGGTCAGGTTCACCGAGGTTCCGGAGAAGGTTTTGGGAATCTTTGGGCCAGGTCAGGTTTAACAGGTTTAACAGGGTTTCCAGCGCTTGGCCGCTTGGCTTTGCAGCACGCTTCAGAAAGATTTGCAAAAATAAAACGCTGTGGCTGTTGGGGATACCACCGAAGCTTATTGGAAGTTTGAGTCACTGACCGGACCATCCAAGCACCTTGTTTTTCAGATCCTCCGCAGTGATTTGGTTTTTCCACCTTTGTGGCATTGCTTTGCCAAGGCACTCTTCAGAGATTGTCGCGGCCTGGGAGGTTCGAAGGCTTTTGAAACAAAGCCTTGTGGTCAGAGCCTCAGGATGAGTAGCTGAATTGCCTTGAATTGCTGCGAGATGCACTCTGTTGTAATGTCATTTCTGGCACTGTTTTGACCTTGGAAGGTCTTAGGATCATCTCATTTAAGGGAAGTGACGAGCTTTCGACCTGTCCATCCCTTCCTTAATCACCCTTAGTCACCCAGGGAAAACGCCACCATCGAGCGTGCTAAGGTGGGATATGAATGTTTGACGCTGGAATCATCACGTGTCCTTCTACACTTTCGCCTTGAGTCCGAGCGAAGAGATCCCGATCCAGGTGCCGGATGTTGAATTTGTTTGAATTTGGATATGGGGGTTCTGGATACTTTCTGTTTGATTTTGCTTGATTTTGCGAAGTTGTGAAATTTTCAGGTCCACCTCAGCTTCCTGTCTTTGCTGTTCCAGGCTCTGCCTGCAGCGAGTCTCAAAAGCGAGGCTGCGAGTTGAGCGCAGTCCAACCGGTTTCGCCGCAGAAAGGCCAGGTGAAGTTTTACCATGTCAGAATCAATTGGACAGCTTTTACTATGTTCATGAAACATATGAAAGTTCAGCATGTCCCACTGGCTTCTGTTGCATACGTTTTCTCTAGACTCTACAGATCGATGCGGGCCCAAGGTTCCTTTTTCATCTTTTTTCCTGTCTTGTCGTTTTTGAGATTGCTTTGTCATTTTCTCCATTTTTCTAGAGTCGTTTGAGATGCTTTGCACTTCCTCTTCATTGGTCTCTGGTTTCATTCATCAGCTTCAGCAATCCACAAACCCATGATGATGCCGAGCTGAAATCTTATGAAGGGCTGAAAGCAACTAATGACTTTTTGATTTTCCCAGATCCGACAACCAGGAAGCTACTGCGATGCGAGAGCAGTTGCAGATCCGCTTCTAGATCCGCCCTTGGAGCTGGCACATATGCCGCATATGCCTGAGGGGAAAGGGACTTTGAACCTTGGTGGTGAAGAAGTCTCCAAGTGTCATGGATTCTTTTGTAGAAGTCGTTTAGCCCAGACTTGTTGAACAGATATGGTACAATACATCAGGGTTGAAAGATCTGCGGGTGATACTGGTTACATTTGTTTGCATTTGTTTGCATCGGATTGTAGAAATAAGGATCTCAACTGTTGAGAGCTTGAACTGAGTTCTGGAGCAGCCGAGGATTGTTGGTGCGCACCTTCTGGAACAGCAAGACTTGCTTCGTGGTTTGGAGGCCAGGAGAACCCCGGTGCTTTGAAGAGTGGCAGTGCCTGAGATCTTGTGAGATTGTTGCCAAATTTGAAATTTGAACTGAAGTCGAAGTCTCGTGGCAACGGAGATGCCCAGAGAAAGTTGACCATTTCAATCAGAGTGTTTGCTACTGTACGATCTGTCTCAATATTCTCAATTCTGTTTTCATTGCGGCTTGACAGGCTGGTGGGTTGCAGATAGTCGAGCGCGAGGTCCTTGCGGAGACCGAGCCCGATCTTCTTTTGGGCCCCAGAGTGTGCTGCTTCCTCCGAAGTGCACATGTTATTTCCAGGCAACGACGAAACCTGTGCGACCCTTGGCTCAGAGAAATGATGAAAAGTATCAGATTCTTGCAGTTAAGCAGTTTTGTCACAGAAATAGGATCATGGTGAATAAAATGTCGGGGTGCCTTTTTGGCTTCTGTTGCCGCCAATTGGACCCAAAGATGAGCGATTCAATGTCATTTCCGAGTTTTGCCCGGAGTACTGAGTAGAAGTACTCGGTGACCAATGGTAAGAACACATGTCTATGTTCTACATGCAAGTTGTCTTTGGCTCACCACTATATCAAATGGGAAACCGGACCCCTTCAGAAGTTTCTTTGACCGAATGAGCGTTGTCCACTCCCCGATGAGAACTGTAGTGATCCCAGTGGAGTAGATGAGACTTTGCTGCTGCACACAGAGCTCAGGATCGCATTGCTGCCGCGCTTTCAGTTTTTGAGGAAGTGATACTGATCTTGGTGGAAACCTGAGCCCTTTATGAATTGTTCCTGAGTCTTCCAAGACCAGAATCAGTTTAGTCGGTTTGAGCCTCTGCAGCTTCCCTCATTTCAACTCGGTGACCCCATATTGATCAGTGAGGTGATGGAAACACAAAGCCCACAGGAGCAGGAACTCTGCGAGGGTCTTCTGCAAGCTCTTCGTGCACAGGGAAGTAACTCTTTGCGTGCCAGCTTCTTGCATCAAGCAGACACCTTTTCTATCCTTCTTTTGAAGATTTTTGAAGCTTCATCTCACCAACAGAGCTGCAACAGACTGCAGCCTTAGGCCGTAGACTCGCAGCCGTGTAATTTTCTTCTGACCAGAGTTCAATTTTTGTGTCGGTCTGGTTCCTCATAGCTTCCCCATTCTTGGCAGGTACCGTGCAGAGTCAGGGACTGGTGCAGCTACTTCTGCAAGAGACGTTGTCCACTTTTGCTTCCGGCCGTGGCTTTCTTTGCCAATTGGAGGTCGGCTTGCAGGGCGGGGGTGACAAAAAACATACACAGACACGTTGAAAAACATGCTGTGGTTGCCTCTTGCTGCCATGGGTCCTGGAGACACCCGAAGTGCTTGCTGCCATGGTTTGTCCCAGACTGTTGGTGACTATCCCGTTTTTCAGACGTCCCGACGCAAATCACACAATGTATGCAGAGCCAATGTCGCTTGACCCAGGAGACAGAGAGGGACGAGCTGCCGATCTTGGCTGCGTTGCCTGGGCTCAATGTAGCACTCGCGGAAGACCTTCTTTCGCAGATGAGCTTCGCACAAGTGTTGCAGAAGGGTGCTGTGGCAGTGGCCGATGCACTAGGCCTGGGCGCATGATGAGGTCTAGATTCATTTCTGCACGCAGTATTCGCGTGTCTCTTCATCCTCAAAGGTCTTCAATGCAAACAGGATATCATGGAGTTTATGTGATGCAGTTCTATAGACAATCCTACAGTACCGTGTCTAAAGTAGCTATTTGTAGGATGGCATAGAGCTTCTGCTCCTTTTGAAGCCCAAGAAATTTGCTGCTTTTTGAATCACCCAGCCACTGACTTGATGTTTTTTCCTCCATGCATCATATCATCTTTCTTCAAAAATCCATTATGAATTATGAATTGTAGTCTTGGAATGTTCTCTTCTCAAGGCTAGATAAATCACTTACACTTACACTTACACTGCAGATTGCTCGATCCCATGCAGTACTTTGTGGTTTGGTATGTTTGGCACACAGCGCTGCCAAAGTGCTTGAGACTATTTGAGCGACATCGATCGCTGTTGATCTTTTGAAAGGGATACTCTAATTCTTTTCCTGGCTGAGCTTTTGCCAGATGTTTTTGACCCTTGCGTGTTCAACCTTTGACATTCATGATTAAACTGATTAAACATGTATTAAAGGTCTCTTTGGAATGAAGCCGCTTGTGCACCACAGAACGATAGGATCAAGTGGGTGAAGCAATCCCGGACATATGATAGCATATGTGAATGCGTAAACATGCAACATACAGACATACACCACAGTATTTGCATGTATTTGTGTATCTGTATGCGTATGATACGCCTCCAATTTCAAATTGCCACAGCAGTTTCTGCATAATGTCATGAAACATAGTTGAAAGCATGGAAAAGACATGAAAAGACAATAGTGACCACGATTTTTCTCTTTGATAGTGGCGAACCCGCATGAACCTGCATTGTTGTGCAGGCCTGCAACTTCCAGAGCATATTATCAGAAAGCTGCAAGATGCTATCATTGCAAAACGGCCGGCTGCAGCGGCTGCAGGCTGGGTTTTTGGGTGGCCAATTTCATATATGACCAGATATGACCAGTAGGTGTGCGGTGTCAGAATTAGTGCAACAAATGTGTTGAAACTTGCGGCCCATCCCGGAGCATGTGCAGGCCCCGAGCGGCGCCTGTATGGTTTTGCGGGACGTGACGCACATTTCTTTGAGACTCAGCAGTTTCAACCCGGTAAGAGACGTGCTGGTGAAGATTTGGATCGGGAGATCCAAACACCTCCAGCGCAGCGGTGTCCTGCCGTGGTGAACTGTGACCGTGAGCTGTTGCTGACTCCGCCGAATCGCATCATGGCACCTGCACGACATGCTCGGCAAGTGACTCCAGCAGGAGATAAAGACCATGTGAGATGCATTTTCCCGGAAGCTCAGGAGATTGCCACGAAGAGGTACCCGCAGCAATCTCATGGAATGCGTGAAGAAGATTTGCAACGGAGTCGATATGAAAAGGATGAAAAGCACTTGAGAGTTCCAAACTCGATTCCATCCTTGCCGCAAAAGAGGCTCTACAGTCAGGATTTGGAACGAGCAGAGCAAGAGCACTTCCGCAGCCTGGAATTTGCCAACTCTCATCAGAAATATCATTTGAACCAGAACCAGCCTTTGAACTCTCGTGCTGGACTTCGAGGTGTGCTCGTGAATCGTCCAGCCTTGACACGTGGCTCGCTTTTTGGATCTTTGTCCGGTGACTCAAGGCCGCTGAATTCAAATTTTAGAAGGCCAGCAGGCTTTCGCAATTGGATGGGCTGATTTGCGCTGCAGCCCTCGTATTGTATGCCTCCTAAAAATGGAGCAGGGTATTCGGCGTCTGTATATCGCAGACGATAGCGCCTATTGTACATGCATGCACCGGAGGGGAAACAGTGCCAAGACTTCAAGAGCTGCGTCAAATTCCCACACATGTCGACATGGAGATTGCTCAACCGTTCCGTAGGTTTTCCGTCCAAGAGGCCCTCATTTTTACTTTAACATCTTTAACATCTTTAACTTTCTAGTCTTTCCTGATCTTTCCTGATCCTTTTGTTTGCGCAATTCTCATAACCATGCAGTGGCTTAACCTACCAGCATGGACAAGTTTTCTTGCCGCAGCTGGCACAAAACTCATCGCAGGTCCTTCAGCAACGCCCTCTTCGTTTGATGGTTGTGACCTGGCCGGTGCGAAGCTGATGCTTTGCAGGCCCTCCAACCCGACTCCAACCGTAGCTGCCATGTTCACTTAACCAGCTTTAGCACAAGCGACATGCCGTCGAAAAATGTCCGAGATGGCAAGCTCGAGCTGCAAGCTGTTTCTTTTTGCGCCGGAGGTAGGTATCTCTAGGTATGGTGTTCCAATTACTTTGCCAAAGGGATCCTTGATTGTAGGATATCGTAGGTAATTTAGCATGGAGGTGTAGGATAACGTTCTGGAGAATAACGTTCTGGAGGATTTGAATACAGTAAGCACGCTAGCGTTGATTCCTCCGCAGGGCTAAGAATGGGAAAAAATGGTAAAACAGGGATGCTAGGACTAGACAGGTTAAAGGTCAGGTGGGATGTTGCTTTGTTTTTTCTTCACGTTATAGTTTGAAATGTTTGACTGTTTCTTTTTGATTATCTTGCTAAATGTGTTGTTGAGGTTGTTGTGATAATGTTTGGATTGAATGAAGGGGATAATTGTTGAGGTGGTCAGAGTTTCTATGTGTAGGTTCAGGTTCAAATTCTACCAAACTGTTGTTCAAAGATGTCGAATGATTTGCTTCAAATTCATGTATTGATTGAGGTTAGGCGCTGTGGTTCCTGTTTGGTTTTGCATATCAAGCATCCTTCAATACCAAAGCCAGTTTGGCACAAATTGACTGAACCGATGTATTGTCCCTTTCCTTCGACATTCCGCAGATGCATCTTTGTGAGGCAGGTTGAGCTTGCGCCAGGCCGGTTCGTCCTTCCAAGCGGTCATGCACGAACACAGCCCGCAAGGGCTTTTCCGGCGCATACCGTTAAAACTGGTTGGACGTTGTTGAGCACAGGGAGCGTCGTAGTGCTGGTTCTCCAAGCTCTCATTCAAAGGTTCCTTCCTGGCTTCTTCATGAACAGGGCAGTGAGGAAGGCTGGGCAAAGGCTGGAAAGGACAGAGCCCGCCCCTGCACGGCCGGTCGAGGAGGAATACATCAAGGACTTCATCAATTCACCTCAACGTAAAGCTTTGAGCACCCCTTCCTTCTTGGTGGTCAGTGGTTCCCAAGGCATTGGGAAATCAACCATGCTGAACAATCTCCTGAGTGAGCATGTGAAGAATGGCAAAAGGGTGCTCCCGCTCAAGATGTCAAGCCGTCCTGGTGAGGACTTGAAACTCAATGAAGCGCTGCCCAAAGCATTGCAAGCAGTAAATTTGCCGCGATACTACCCAGAACAAGTGGAGTATATGCTGGAAAAGGTGAACGAGACGTGCAAGCGCCGAACAGGCAGTGCGTCGTGGTATACCTGCAACTCACAACCAAAAGCCGCGGAGACAAATTTAGTAGGGATGCCTGTGATGACATTGCTTCCACCCTCGGTGCCTTCGCTCGCAACATCACCTACGACAATGCCGCGTGCAAGTTCATTTTGGACGTCAGCGTGTCTGCAGTGGCAGACATCATCAAAGAAAGGTTTGACATGTCAAGGCTGGTGGTGGTGCGACCACTACCTTTCGAAGACTTCACGTCTGTGGTCAAGGAGGTGGCGAAGCAGGGAAACGACTTCCGGACGCTGAACAAGGTTCTTGCCGAAGATGACATGGACGAGGTGTTGAAGCACTACTACATCCGCATGGGGGGCAACTTGCGCGCCTTGGGCGAGATACTGGAAAACGTCTCCAGAGCAGGTCAGAAAGGTGCGGATGCGGTCATCGAGCAGGTTGAGCAGTGGTACAACCGGAGGGTGGAACCAATTGAAAAGAAATTGGATGACCAGGAAGTGAAGGACTATCTCTTCAAGGTGGCTGAGGCAGGACCCATGGGGTATCTCCCAAACAGCAAGCAGACGACCCAAATGACTTTGAAGCTTCTTCGTGAGGAGCCAGCAGACTGCGTCCTGAGGAGTACAACCAATTTAAGTGTGGCTTTGAAGCATTGGCATTTCGTCGCCAAGCTCTTTCAAGAGGATGAGCAGAAGTTGAGGGATGCAGGATACATGTGAGCTTCGCCGGTGAAAAAAACTGTGACGCTTGAGATGTTTTGTGGGTGAGTCATACAAGAGTAATTTTCACATATTGCATGCATAACCGCAGATACCCAACCCTAGTATCAATGATGCCCAGATACCAGTATCAAGTATCAACGATACCCAGGGCCTAGTATCAATGATACCCAGATACCAGTATCCAAGTATCAACGATACCCAGAACCGAGTATCAATGATACCCCAAACTGAATATCAATGATACCCTGATACCAGTATCCAAGTATCAATGATACCCAGAACCGAGTATCAATGATACCCAGAACCGAGTATCAATGATACCCCAAACCGAGTATCAATGATACCCAGATACCAATATCCAAGTATCAACGATACCCAGAACCAAGTATCAATGATACCCTGATACCAGTATCCAAGTATCAACGATACCCAGAACCGAGTATCAATGATACCGTGATACCAGTATCCAAGTATTAACGATACACAGAACCGAGTATCAATCATTCACCGAACAAGCAACAACAGACAAATCGTTTCACCCTGAACTTTTTTAGCCAAACCATCAAACACGGACAAATCGTTTCACCCTCAACTTTTGACAAAAGCATGAAACACGGACAAATCGTTTCACCCTCAACTTCTATAGCCAAACCATCAAACACGGACAAATCGTTTCACCCTGAACTTTTGAAGACAACAAATCCTTACTTCAACAAGTGTCCTAAAACCATTGTTTTAGCGTCCAAAAAACATCAATTTAGGACACTTGTTAAAAACACAATTTTTAGAGCAACAGACCCAAAAACACTTAAAGAAATGACGCCTTATGTAATTAAGAATTGAATATGCCCTGCTATATGTTTATAGATGGAATTAAGCAAGAAATGGACGAAGACCTTTTTGACCAAATGGCGGAAGCACTACACCAATCCAGCAACCCTCAAAATCCACCAACCACAACATCCACAAGATGGAAACTCGACGGAACTTACGACAAGAAACCATTAGACCCCAATTATTTTTTAAAGTATTATCAAAAGAAATTATCAACCCCTTTCACCTGTCCAGACTGCGGACGAACCATCACAAGCAAATCCAATCTATCAAAACACCGTCAAACCAACAGATGTATGAACAGCAGACGACGTTGCTTTCCTCTTACTCTTCTTGCTTTGGGCGGTTTGGTGGTTGTGGATGGGTCTTCCTGAAATTCTCTCTTTTCCTGCGTTGGCGGTTTTGGTTTCTGTCTCTTTGCTTTGGACTCGTATGCCCCTTTGTTTGCCATATAGTGGTCTTGTGAATGACTTAAGTTTGCCTGTTCTGCTACTCTCCTTTCGTTCTCTTCCCTCAACTCTGCCTCTCTGTCAAAGGACATCTCAAAGTCGCTGATGGCGTCGTCCCTCAAGTCGGTCATATCTTCAAAGTCAAGGTTGGGTGTTTCTTCTTCCTTCCTTGCGGTCGCTTCCTCTGCCATCTTTTTGAAGTTCATTTGCTGTAAGTCTGCTGGGTGGATGTTGTTTGTGTTCAGTGCTTGACCCTGCGGACTTTCGTGAAAATACCAAGCGTTCCTATCAAAGATTTTTCTGATGTCATTGGTTTTGAACTTTTCCCTGTCTATATTTCCTTGATGAGTTCTGCGTAAGTGGGTATTCGTGTCAATCCCTGTTTTGTGTTGATTACTTCTGCTGTCATTGCTATATATGAATACTTTAGATTTTTATATTAATCTTGTGTATCGCCTCTCAACCACTGTTTATACTCATCAATTCTCTGTTTCATATTCTGGACGTTCGCCCCGTAATCTTCCAATCTGTGATTTTTCCTCACCTCCCTCAACCTTGTCATTTCGTTCTGTAGCATCTCATTCTCTTCATTCATCCTTTGCTTTACTTGTAAGACCTTGTAATCGTGCTCGGTGTTGTGATATTCAAGAAGACGCTTTAGGTAAAGATGATGGTTGTGAGTTGGCATCCTTGCCGTGTTGCTGTCATTGTGGTAGTAGTGGTCATAACTACTATACACTTTTTTTCTTCTGTCTGGCATTTCGGGCGTTCCGCTCTTGTAGTTGGCACTTTTGTTTGAATGGACGGTTTGTCTTCTGTTGATGTCCTTGCGGACGTTTTCGTAGATGTCTGTTTTGTTGAGTTCCGTTTTCTGTTTCTTGATGTTCATTTATATATATATAATACTTTATAAAATTTTTGATGCTAAAGATTTCAATTTCTCTCTCGTCGCTTTGTTCTTTTCCTCTTTGGCTTTGTTGTAGGTGTCTCTGGCGGACATCGCACTTTGTAGTTCTTCCTTTATTTGTTTTACAAGGTCGCTTTTGAATGCTTCTGGGTCAAAAGGTGGTTTCGCCCTTGACGGTCTTACCCTTTCGGGTTTTGGGACTACCGTTGCTGGCTGCGGTTTCTCTTGAACTGGTGTTTCAATTATTTCTTCTAGTTTCTCCTCTTCCTTCGGTGCTTCTTCCTGTATTGGTTCTGATATTGTTTCTTCCTTTGGTTCTTCATTATCAATCTCTTTTACGACTACCTCTGTCATATATTAATAATATTATAGATAATTTTTTATACTTTCAAAATCTCGTGCCTCAAATACGGTTTGTTCAATCCTTCCAGTTTGAAGGCTCTGTTTCCGACGTCGTCGTATTCTATCTTGACGATTTTGTAGGATTGATTGCTCCACTTTGAGTTAT